CCCCACTCCCTCACCCCCACCTCCCCACTCCCTCACCCGCACCTCCACCCTGACTCTTACCACCACCTCCAGCTGCCTGCTTCCACCCACTCTCACTCTCACCTCCACCCCCGCCCCCCCCACCCCCCCCCCCCACAGTTGAGGATTGGCCAGGTGAGTGTGTGAATTTTAATTTTATTTGATTTTGCTGCTATTTTCTCAGGTACATGTTTGAAGGTGGAACTAATTTTGGATACTGGAATGGTGAGTCTCTGATACTGAGTTGCTGAATCTCTTTATTCATTAATGGGATGAGGGCATCGCTGGCTAAGGGCAGCATTTATTGCCCATCCCTAATTGCCCAGAAGGCATTTTAGAGGCGACCACGTTGCTGTGGGTCTGGAGTCACATGTAGGCCAGACATGTAAGGATGGCAGCTTCCCTCCCTAAAGGACATTAGTGAACCAGATGGGTTTTTCCCCCAACAATTGATTCGTGGTCATCATTAGATTTTTAATTCCAGATATTTATTGAATTCAAATTCCACCATCTGCCGTGGTGGGATTCAAACCCAGGTCCCCAGAACATTATCTGGGTCTCTGGATTAACAGTCCAGCGATAATACCACTAGGCCATCGCCTCCCCATTCATTGTATTAAAACCCCATCTGGTTCACTATTTCCCTATAGGGAGCGACATTTACAATCCTTACCCAGTCAGGCCTAGATGTGATCCCACAGCAATACAGTTGACTCGTGGTGCCTTTTGAAACAGTGAGCTACTGTGTTCGAAGGCAATTTAAAAAGAATTCATTTGTGGGATGTGGATATCGTTGGCTGGGCCCAGCATTTCTTGCCCGTCCCATATTGACCCTTGACAAGGTTGGGGGTGAGCTGCCTTCTTGAACCGCTGCAGTCCATGTGCTGTGGGTTGACCCACAATGTCCCTTAGGGAGGGAATTCCAGGATTTTGACCCAGTGACAGTGAAGGAACAGCGATATATTTCCAAGTCAGGATGTTGAGTGACTTGGAGGGGAACTTGCAGGGGATGGTGTTCCCATGTATCTGCTGCCCTTGTCCTTCTGGATGGAAGTGGTCGTGGGTTTGGAAGGTTCTGTCTGAGGATTTTTGGTGAATTTGGGACAGGCAAAAAATACTGGCCCAGCCAGTGACATGCACATCCCAAAAACGAATTAAGAAGAAAACAAAAATTATCAGAGGTTAAAGAGACTAAGAGAAGGGGAAAAACTGTCACAAATTTTCTTCCCATTCACTTGTGGGACATATGGTGTCGCTGGCTGGGTCAGCGTTCATTGGTCATCCCTAGTTGCCCCTTGAGAAGGTGGGGGTGAGCTGTCTTCTTGAATCGCTGCAGTCCGTGTGCTGTAGCTGGACTCACAATGCCCTTAGGGAGGGAATTCCAGGATTCTGACCCAGTGACAGTGAAGGAATGACGATACATTTCCAAGTCAGGATGGTGAGTGGCTTGGAGGGAAACTTGCAGGGGGTGGTGTTCCCATGTATATGCTGCCCTTGTCCTTCTAGATGGAACTGGTCGTGGGTTTGGAAGGTGCTGCCTGAAGTGAATTTCTGCAGTGCATCGTGTAGATATTACACATTGCTGTTACTGAGCGTCGGTGGTGAAGGGAGTGAGTGCTTGTGGATGTGGTACCAGTCAAGCAGGCTGCTTTGTCCTGGATGGTGTCAAGCTTCCTGAGTGTTGTTGGAGCAATGGGGAATATTCCATTACACTTTTGACTTGTGCCTTGTAAATGGTGGACAGGCTTCGGGGAATCAGGAGGTGAGTTACTCATCACAGTATTCCCAGCTTCTGACTTGCTCTTGTAGCCACTGTGTTTATGTGACAAGTACAGTTGAGTTTCTGGTCAATAGTAACCTCAAGAATGTTAATAGTGGTGGGATTCAGTTACGGTAACACCACTGAATGTGGTTAGACCTTCTGTTATTGGAGATGGTCATAGCCTGGCATTTGTGTGGCGTGAATATTATTGGCCACTTATCAGCCCCGAGGCTGGATATTGTCCAGACCTTGTTGCATGTGAACATGGTCTGCTTCAGTATCTGAGGAGTCACGAACGTTGCTGAACATTGTGTAATCATCGGCGAACATCCCCACCTCTGACCTTATGATGGAGGGAAGGTCATTGATGAAGCAGCTGAAGATGGTTGGGCCTAGGACACTACCCTGAGGAACTCCTGCAGGTAAAATGGAACTGGAGCTGAGATGACTGACCTCCAAAAACCACAACCATATTCCTGTGTACTAGGTGTGACTCCAACCACCGGAGCGTTTGCCCCCTGATACCCATTGATTCCAGTTTTGCTAGGGCTCCTTGATGCCACACTCGGTCAAATGCAACTTTGATGTAAAGGGCTGTCACTCTCACCTCACCTTGGAATTCAGCTCTTTTGTCCATGTTTGAACCAAGGCTGTAATGAGATCAGGAGCTGAGTGGCCCTGGCGGAACCCAAACTGGGCGTCACTGAGCAGGTGCTGCTTGATAGCGCTGTTACTGACACCTTCCATCACTTTACTGATGATCGAGAGGAGACTGATGGGGCGGTAATTGGCCGGGTTGAGTTGTCCAGCTTTTTATGTCCTGCATTTTACCAAAATGTGAGCGGGGGATGGAGTGGATGGCGTATTTAATGGTTGCGTACCAATGGTCACGAGTATTTGGCCCTGTGGTGGGATAGGAGATGTGTTGATGGTTTGTTGGTACCACACTCCTGAGGTTGGCTTGTTGAACAAGGCATCAGGGTGGTCTGTCTCAAGGCGATGTATATTTCATCAAGTATGTTCTTCACTTCCACATGGAGTGGGATGTAAACTCCCATGGCAGCTAGTCAGGACAGCTTTTCATCATCTGATATTCCAGGTCCGGGGAGTATTAACTCACCAGGGTCATCATGTCGCCAAGGTCATTCAGATAACTGAACACTTGGGGAAACAAAGCTCAATTCACCAGCATCAGCATGGTTTCATGAAGGGCAAGTTGTACTTGACAAACTTGCTGGAATTCTTTGAGGATGTAACTAGCAAGGTGGATAATGGCCATTCGGTGGATTTTCAGAAGGCATTTGACAAGGTGCGGCATAAAAGACTGATCCAGCAGGTTAGACCCCAGATAGGATTAGGGTTAGACCCCAGGGAGTTAAGGGTGGAGTACTGGCTTGGATAGAGGATTAACTGACTGATAAAAAAGCAGACGGTGGGGATAAATGGGTCCTTCTCTGCACGATGAACTGTAACTAATGGGGTGCTGCAGGGTTCAGTTCTTAGAACTCAAGTATTTACGATCTATATAAATGATCTGCAAACAGGGACAGAGTGTAACATACCAAAATTCATGGATGATACTAAAATAGGTGGGAAGGCAGGCAGTAATGAGGAGACAAAGAGTTTACAGATGGATATTGATAGGCTTGGAGAATGGGCCAGAATCTGGCAGATGGTGTTTAATGTGGATAAGTGTGAGGGTGTCCATTTTGGTTGGAAAAATAAAAGGGCAAGTTATTATTTAAATGGGAAGCAGATTCAAAGTGCCTCAGTGCAGAGGGATCTGGGTGTCCTTGTGCATGAATCACAGAAAGTGCAGTATATGGAGGTGCAGCGTACAATAAGGCAGGCAAATGGAATCCTGGCATTTATTGCAAAAGGACTGGAATATAAAAATAAAATGCGCTGTTACAATTATATAACGTATTATGTCCAGTTCTGGTCTTCTTACTTGAGGAAGGATTGGGTGGCGCTGGAGGCAGTTCAGAGGAGGTTCACCAGATTGATTCCAGGGATTAAAGGACAATTATATGAGCAGTGCTTGAATAGTTTGGGCTTGTGCTCGCTGGAGTTCAGAAGAATGAAGGGATCAGATTGAGATATTTAAAATGCAAAACAGAATTGATAAGGTGGACGTTGAATAGATATTCCCCCTTGTGGGACAATCTCAAATGAGAGGACATAGATATAGAGTGAAAGGGGGTAGGTTCAAAACTGTGATGAGGAGGAACAACTGGGGCGGCATGGTGGCTCAGTGGTCAGCACTGCTGCCTCACAGCGCCAGGGTCCTGGGTTCAATTGCACCCTCAGGCGACTGTCTGTGTGGAGTTTACACATTCTCCCTGTGTCTGTGTGGATATCCTCCGGGTGCTCCGGTTTCCCCCCACAGTCCAAAGATGTGCAGTGGCCATGGGAAATTGTCCGTGGGTAGATCAGGTGGGTTATGGGGCTTGGGTCTGGGTGGGATGTTGTGAGGGTGGATTCATGGTCATCATTGGATTCTTAATTCCAGATATTTTATTGAATTCAAATTCCACCATCTGCCGTGATGGGATTCGAACCCAGGTCCCCAGGATATTATCTGGGTCTCAGGATTAACAGTCTAGCGATAATACCACTAAGCCACCGCCTCCCCATTTCACCCCCAAACCCCCCAAAACCAGACGAAATAGTTTCTCTCTCATGATGCTGTCAAATCCTTTAATCATGTGAAACCCCTTAATTAGGTCAACCCTTCACCCTCGACACTCGAGGGAGTACTAGACGAGTCTGTCTAATAAAAATGGAAAATGCTTTAGATATTCAGCAGGCTGGGCAGTAACCCCAAAATTTTCTGCATTTATTTCAGACTTCTCAAATCTGTGCTGTTCTGCTTTCCCAGTCTGTGTGACTTCCCCTTGTTACTTAACTGTTTCATTTCACCCCCTGGATCATTCTGGTGAATCTGCCCTGTCCCCGAGACCCTCCCTCAGAACACTGGACCTGAACATTTCGGGTCACTGGACCCGAAACGTTAACTCTGTTTTTTCCTTCACAGATGCTGCCAGACCTCCTGAGCTTTTCCAGCAACTTTGTTTTTGTTCCTGATTTACAGCATCCACAGCTCTTGGTTTTTATTAAAGGGCTATAGGGAGCAGGCAGGAGAGTGGAGTTGGGACCAGGACAAGATCAGCCAGGATCATGTTAAGTGGTGGAGTGGGCTCAAAGGGTTGAAATGCCTGCTCCCGCTCCTAATTTCTGTCTTTGCTGAAATCTATATAAACTACATCAACTGCACTATCCTCATCTACACACCTGGGAATCTGCATGAAAGGTTCAATCTAATTTCTTAGGCATGACCTCCTCTGACAAAGATAGGCTGACTACTGCTGATCAAACCTTGCCTCTCAAGAGGAGATTAATGCTCTCTTTCAGAATTTTATCCAGTAGTTTTCTGATCACTGATGTGAGTCTCACTGGTCTGTAGTTCCCTTGTCTGTCTCTACCATCCTTCTTGAAAAGTGGAAGCACATTAGTTCTCATTTGTGTTGGAAATCGTGTCTCATGAACTTGATTGAGTTTTTTTGAAGAATTAATGAAGAGGATTGATGAAGGTAGAACGGTGGACATGATCTATATGGACTTCAGGAAGGAATTCGACAAGGTTCTGCACGGTAGACTGGTTAGCAAGGTTATGTCACATGGAATACAGGGAGAGCTATCCATTTGAATGCATAACTGGTAGGAGACAGAGGGTGGTGGTGGGGAGTTGCTTTTCAGACTGGAGGCCTGTGACCAGCGGTGTGCCACAAGGATCGGGGCAGGGTCCACAGCTTTTTGTCATTTATATAAATAATTTGGATATGAGCATACGAGGTATGGTTAGTAAGTTTGCAGATGACACCAAAATGGGAGGTGTAGTGGACAGCGAAGAAGGTTACCTCAGAGTACAATGGGACCTTGATCAGATGGGCCAATGGGCCAAGGAGTGGCAGATGGAGTTTAATTTAGATAAATGTTTTGGAAAGGCAAATCAGTACAGGGCTTATACACTTAATGGTAAGGTCCTGGGGAGTGTTGCTGAACAAAGAGACCTTGGGATGCAGGTTCATAGTTCCTTGAAAGTGGAGTCGCAGGTAGACAGGATAGTGAAGAAGGTGTTTGGAACACTTGCCTTTATTGGTCGGTGCATTGAGGACAGGAGTTGAGAGATCATGTTACGACTGTACAGGACACTTGTTAGGTGACTTTTGGAATACTGCGTTCAATTCTGGTCTCTCTGCTATAGAAACGATGTTGTGAAACTTGAAAAGGTTCAGAAGAGATTTATAAGGATGTTGCCAGGGTTGGAGAATTTGAGCTACAGGGATAGGCTGAACAGACTGGGGCTATTTTCTCTGGAGTGTTGGAGGCTAAGGGGTGACCTTATAGAAGCTGGTAAAATCATGAGAGGCATGGATAGGGTGAATGGTCAGGGTCTTTTCTCCAGGATAGGGGAGTCCAAAACTAGACGGCATAGGTTTAATGTTAGGGGGAAGGATTTAAAAGGGGCTTGGGGAACAACTTTTTTACGCAGAGGGTGGTGTGTGAGTGGAATGAGCTGCCAGAGGAAGTGGGGGAGGCTGGTACAATTACATTATTTAAAAGGCATCTGGATGGGTACATGAATAGTAAGGGTTTAGAGGGATATTGGCCAAATGTTGGCAAATGGGTCTGGATTAATTTAGGATATCTGGCCAGCATGGACAAGTTGGGCGAATGATCTGTTTCCGTGCTGTACATCTCAATGACTCTATGGCTTTATACCTCTTTACCAGTCCTCAGTGGCTGAGACACCTGACTTGGACAGGTGCTGGAAGCTACTTCCATAAGCAATATTAACCTGGAGATGGCAAGAATCTGAACTATGAGGAAGTTTGAAGACAAAAATGCCAAATTAGAACTAAACACAAACAGACCTCCAATGAGCCAGCACGGGTACATGGGCAGTTGTTTAATCAGTTTGTACTGAGAGAGTGGTGGGGACTAGGGAAGACTGTGTATGGGAGATGGTGGGGAGGTGATGGGGTTTTGGGGAATACCACGATATCACAATCCTGACTAATGCCTCCCGCAGGTGCTGACTACAACATCAAGTACCGTCCTATTACCACCAGCTATGATTACAATGCCCCTTTGTCCGAGGCAGGAGATCCCACACAGAAGTTTTATGCACTGCGAGATGTGATTAGTAAGGTATGAACCATTTACCCTCGCCTGCAATATCAGCACAGGATGATATAACCAGGACTCTGGGCCGACTAATGCGACAAGAGGGAGCATTTAAGACAGAGTTGGGGAGGGAGTTGGATGAATGGATGGGATCAGGGATCAAATCAAAGATTTACTGGTTGAAGTCTGCAGTGGAATCCATTTATGCACAGCAAACTTCCCAAAACTGCAATGGTTTTATGAATAGTTAATCTGTTATTGGTGGCTGCTGTTTTAGGAAGGAATGTTGGTCAGGGTAAGGTCTTGATATCTGTTACATTTCCCACAGCTTGATGTGGTCCCTGGTTCATAGATGCCTTGGAAAAACTGATCATTCAGTAGCCCGGCGCTCCCTCAGTACTGACCCTCGGACAGTGCGGCACTCCCTCAGTACTGACCCTCCGACAGTGCGGCACTCCTTCAGCACTGACCCTCGGACAGTGCGGCGCTCCCTCAGTACCGACCCTCGGACAGTGCGGCGCTCCCTCAGTACTGACCCTCCATCAGTGCGGCACTCCCTCAGCACTGACCCTCTGACAGTGCGGCGCTCCCTCAGTACTGACCCTCCATCAGTGCGGCGCTCC